TGTCGAAACGCAGTGTTGAGCGAATCTCGACCATTGATATTTCAACTGTTATACAATCCAACAGTCGAGATGACATCTTTTATCATCTACCAACTCAGCTGGTTTCGGGTCATAATCGGATAGAAAAATTTCAAATCTTGAATATTAAAATTCCGGGTGCCAATGCTAGTGGGCCTAACCGGTTTTCGATTGGGCCCAAACCCACGCGTGATTGACATGTGTATTCGGTTTCGATTTTGACCCAAAACTCTAGTCAACAAGCCTGGCCCGGTTGGTCAACGGGCCTGACCGTTGGCTATATATACATACATCACACTCATGAGATAATTTGATACACACCAAAATAATAATAATAATAATAATAATAATAATAATAATAATAATAATAATAATAATAATAATAATCTTCGTATAATTTGCTATTACTAATTCGATTTTTCGCAGGAAATGGGGAAAGAGGATAACGGAGAAATGAATGAAGAAGCTATCAAGATTTTGAAGCAACAAATGAGAGAGATGGAAGAGGCTCCAGACATGGATTTGGAGAAGATGACGAAGAGATTAAGACAAGCATGTTTCAAAGCTAATTACAAGAAGAGAAAACTAGTGAATAATGCAGCAGCTTCTTCAGAAACTGCCCTTTAGAATTAATTAATGAGAAGATTGTTATGGAAATATATATATGGAGGATCAGACTGATTTAGGATTTTGGCCAAACATATTTTTCTGCTAATTCATAGTATGAATTAATGTTGTTTTTGAAAGTAGAGACAGTCCATATTTGTAAGCAAGATTTTTTTTTTGTAGGGTATTAACTACTAACTGTCTGCATGGCTTAATGCACTAATCTTGCATTAATAGTGATGCCTTTGAAGTTTGGTAATGTGGGTTAATTTTGCTGTCTTTTGTTTTGCTGTTGTGACATCTAATTAAGAATTATTGAAAAAAATGGAATCATTTGATTTTGTCTTTTCAAGTTATACACTACTCAATCTATTACAATTGTGTATACATGACTAGAAAAGATTAGTAAGAATACTATTAGGTTAGACAAACGACCAGACATAAATGATTCTACGTATACATGCTTTCTAACTGAAATGTCGTAAAATGAAAAAAATATGAATATAAATATGATATTTCCTAACACAATTTTTTATTAAGAGATTATGATAGGTTGACCCGACTAACGAATAAGGAGCCTCTTATAAAAAAAAAAATGTGGAAAAAAGAAACCTTGGACTCATATATTCAGAGGCCTGAAAAAAGATCGAGAATATTTGGCCCTTGGGCCCATATAGCTGTTTCTGCCCAATTGACTCGACACAATATACAATGTAGTTTAGTTTTAGGGAAAAATTTATAACTTGCTCATTTTTTACAAAGATTTTACAAAACAGTTACTAGTCATACACAGTTCTCAATCTACTCCAAACATTAGACAAAATTGCTTAAAAAGGGGTAGGTAGGTTATGAGAAAGGAGAGATATATGGAGGAGGATGAAACGTTTTGCGGTTATTAAAATGTAAACAAGCCATATTCACAAAAGGAGTATAATTGTAAACATAAAAGACAATTGCATCTAAATAATAAGAGGGAGTAGTTATATAAACTCTATGAGCAAATAGATAAGGGATGCCATTATTTCTTAGTTTTACGAATTCGACTTGGGCCTCAAAAATGACGACAATGTCCCATTTAGGGCTGCAAACGACCCGAGCCGAGTCGAGAATTGGTTTTATCGAGAGGGATTATTTTTTTTTTTCGAGCTCGATTTATGATGCTCGAGTTTGACTCGATAAGAATATACAATAGCTCGAGCTCGACTCGAAATCAAATGCTCGAGCTCGACTCGAAAATTTTTAAGTGAAATTACAATTAAGCGCTTGTGTTATACTATTTATATACAAAGGATATTCTAGTAATTTAATATATATCGAGGCACTCGACAATGCAAAATATGGATTCGAGCTCGAGTCGTTTGCAGCCCTAGTCCCATCCAACATCAAAGAGATCCAAGTTGGCACTTTTCCATAAACTTTGATCTCAATTTGTGTTTGGTAGATTTAACTGTGCTATGGGTTCAGGTTTAACTTACTCCATAAATTCATTTGCATTTTCATCATCATTTACTAGCAAAAAAAAAAAGTATGTTATACGTACATAATGTTGTACATTTAACTCACATTAAGTGGGACCCACTAAAATTAAAAAATTAAGTAGACCCCACTCTATGTGAGTGTTATGTATAGTACATGTTTACGTACATGTAGCATTTTTTTTTTTACAATAATTAAAACCACACGACAACAATGATAAACTACTCCATTTTTGCTGTCTGTGGTAAGTTGTAACACACAAAGAATAGTTCAAATTTAAATTCAAAATTTTACAATAATTAAAAAAAAAAATAATCTGTCACATCGCCACGCACCGACTCATCTCCTCTAGATCTACACTCCTTGTTTATATAAACGATTCTGTAATTTTTTGGGTTTATCTAATTATAACATTATGCAATAATTTGTTCTATAGCTGATATATCATTTTATCTAACAAATTAAATGACTCAAATCTATTAGAAGTTAAAATTAAAATTTGGAGTTGGGATGGCCGTTGAATTTTCCGTCCATCAATATATTTTATCCTCCCATTTTGAATTACTAACCAGTAGATATATGAAAGATTAGGAAATGTTATGGTCCCGTTACGGAATCATTTTGTAACTGTTATATCATCATGTAATCGTCGAGGATACTTGATTTAACGGTTACAAACCCCGACTGAATGGTTCGGTAACGGGATCGTAGCATGTTCATGAAAGATGATATATTTTAGAAATGAACTTAAAAAATTTCTTATTTATAAGCATGTTCGGTATCGGGATCGTAGCATGTCTACCACGAAATTAAATAAATAACTAAGAAACAACTTCGATATCCAAAGCTACATTAATCCTTAATTGCGAAAAAAAAAAAATAGAACAAAAAAATGATAAATAAATTCGACACTCTCAAATCAAACAATAATAATCGAAATACAGTGAAGAAATCATTAATCAAATTCTAATGGGTCGGGCAAAACGTGATCAAATAGTCCGAACCCGTGCAGGTGCACGTGCTTGTCAGGTCATCGTACGCGTAGCTGTACGCCGTCGGGCACGCGCTCTTGAACATCTCCGAGTACTTCGTCGGCGTGCACGCCGCCGGCGTCCCAAACTCGCCAGTGCAGCAAAACTCCGGCGCCCCGAACGCCGCGCACGCGCTCCGGCAGGCCACAACCGCCCCCCCGCCGTCCACCACCCGCAGCTCCGGCGGGCAACCCCCGTTCACGTCCGCCACGCAGCCGGCGTACTGGCAGTCGCCGGAGCCGCCGGATGACGGCCGAACCCCGAGCCCCACGTTGTACCCGTCCACGAGGCTCACGTCGTAGAAGTCCTCCGCCATGCCGCCGGAGCCTCCGCCGATGGTGAACTCCACCAGACTGACCGGCGGGGTGCCACCGCCGGCGCACCGGATCCCACCGGGGCAATCCCCCGTTGTGCAGTTTCCGTTCCCGGCTGCGTCGAAGGCGCAGCCGGTCCGGGCCCAGAAGCGGCCAGACCAGCCCGACGGCGCTGGGAGTTGGACAGAGGCGCCGGGCGGGAGCTCGAAGCCGCCGTCGCCGAGGAGTGAGGCGCCGTTGCCGGAGAGGGTCCCCGGCCATACCGTGTAGCTGCAGCCGTTTTGGAGCGTGAAGACGGTGGCGGAGGCGCTTGAAAGTATGCCTGATAGAAACAAGCCGGCCGTTAATGGTGACAATGCTTACTTAACAAGGGAAAAAAAATCTGTGAAAATAAAAATTGATATCAGAGATTAATTCGATTAACACGAAATTTACCTATGAAAAACAGGGAGACAATGGAAAGGCGGTTAGTCGCCATTGTCGTGGAGCTCAACGTGTGTGAGAGAGAAGAGAGATGAAATATTGAAGATGAAATTAACTTGAGAATGTGACCTATTTATACAGAGGAGATAATAATTTTAGATCGTTTTTTATTATTTTTATTTTTTTAATTAATTGCATTTTTTTTTATTATATATATATATATATGGTTTTATTTATTTTGAATAAATCATAATTCTTGGATGACCCACTTTTTGCACCACTTCTATGTGTTCAAGGTTTGTTTGAGAAACGTGTGAAAATGACGCTGACCAATTTTACTCCACGGTGCTCTATTTTATTAACTGGACATGCATCTAGACGTATTGATTTTTTTTTATAATTAGTGGGAAACAGGACTGTAAACGAATCGAGTTGAGCTCGTTAAATAAATGAGCCTGAAATCGAACTCGGGGTCGGCTCGTTTAACACTCATAACGAACCGAATTCGAGCCGATCTCGAGCTTTAACGAGGCAAACGAACCTTATCGAGTCGAGCTTAGCTCGGCTCATTTAATTTAGCAGCAGTGAGAAATAATTCTTTTATTATCAATTTGTGCGGGTTGATTTATCATATTTTATTTATGTTTTTTTATAGTATAACATTTTAACTTAAAAATATAAAAATTTGTTGAAAACAGATGAATATGTAATTGTAACAGATAGTTTAATTAATGTAGATGTTTATCTATGCTTAATTAATATGAGTGAATTTTACAACTATGAATAGTGGATGTCAAAGACAAAGATCACGCAAAGATTACTTACATTTTGATCAATCTATAAATATATAATTTGGCAAGACAAGCATTTAATTTTATTGTGATGCATTAAATTTTATTCTCCCTCCAATTTTTTTAGCATTCAATTTCATTTTTAAGTTACAAATTAACTTGCTTGAATGCCATAAATTATGAGCATAAATCAATTAAGGGAGTTACAAAATTGATTTAGCATAAAGAAAATGGTTGTAATGGCTCTTCTATTTTATTATTTTCTATTTGTTTGAGGGTACCGTTAAAATTTCGACGCAAATTTTTTTTTAACATGGTCTCCTATACTATGGCGATCATCAAGAGTCAAGATCAATCTCTCTCACACGTTCGCTTAGTCTTGAATGACCCTGTTTTCAGTAATAAACAATTGGACGTTGCTTTTCTGGAGTTACTAATGGGAAGTGTTTGAAAATAATGATATATGGTGATGGTGATTCTGACGATAGAAAAACCATAAATATTGTATACAAACAATATGTTTAATAAACTTTAAAATCATTTTCTTAATTCATATTTTTTCTCATGAAATGAATTATGGTTATGTATTTTTTTATATTATTATCTTTTCTAAGTATTTTTCTCCGTGCAAATGCACGGGT